CAATCATACAGGTGGCCGTTTCTGCTAACATGATGAGTTCCTGTACAGTAAGTTCTTTCAGCACCTGACCTTTTATAACTATTTGACTTTTTACAACTCCTTTTACAGCTCCTTCTGTGTCAGCAGGCTCCTGTCAATTGTTTTAAAGCAAAGACAAAGACAAAGCAAAGACATCTGCAGTTAGCAGCATTCCTAGGGGTAGTAGTAATTTTCCACTTAGGTTATTGGAAAGGAGGGCACATGGAGAGCTGTGTCCTACACCCATGCTTGCCTTCAGGCATATAGGACCCCTGCATTCAGGGCAGCTCCCCACATACCCCTTCTATAATTTTCGTAACGCTGAGTACCCCTCGTACTCATGAGAACGTAGAATTAGGCGCCGCTAAGCACGGTGCAGTGCATATCCCCACCAAACTCCAGTGCAATGCGTACCCCCACCAAACTCTTCCAGTACCCCTGGGGGTACGCGTGCGTACCACACTTTGGGAAACACTGGTAAGGTTTTGTACAAATTTCTTCTAACGTGGATTGGAGGTTTCCAGTTTGACTTTATGTGAAAGGCTCGGACAGGCAGGGCAATGCCATTCAGGCCAAAGGTAGCACGTTAGTCCCTGTAACCATTGTGTCAGAGGATGTGTGTGTGTGAGTTTGGGTCAGAAGATGGCCCAAATAAGATCTCTTGATGCCACCCTGGATGTCGCCGACCCCCACTAAATGTTGTTACAGGATCTTTTATCTTTTGCTTCTTGTCACTGTGCTGTATCTCCCTCCTTGGTATGGCCAAGGAACTAGAACCCCTTCTAATTACATATAGTAACCTAATTGCCGTGAGTTTGATGGTGTGGGATGAGAATGCACAGGATTTCTTTCTTGTTTTGGGTGCTTTGTGTACTCTGTTCACTTTATTTCTTTTTATTATTTTTTCTTTAAAAAATATTGTTGAAAGTATTATTTAGGCCCTCCTTCCCCCCATTAACCTCTTCCAGCCCACTCCCATCCTCTCTCTGCGCGCGCCCCCCCCCCCCCCCCCCGCCCCCCAGGCCCTCAGCACCCCATTGTCTGTGTCCATCCATGGATTATACATATATGTCTACAAGTCGTTCACTTTTCTCTACAGGTCCGATCCAGCTCAGCCGCCCACTGAAGGGGCAGAAGGGGCAGAAGGGACTGCCCCAGGTGGGGCCCCCCCTGGCCCTCCTCCTAATACGACCAGCAACAGGCGACTACAGCAAACCCAGGCACAAGTAGAGGAGGTAGGTGGAGCGTTTTCCCCTGAGGGTTTCCAAATCATCGGGGTTTAGAACTTTTCTTTCTTGTAGAGAGATAGCTAAAGGCTTTGGGAGGCAAGGCATTCATCCGTTAGAGTTATGCAGGGCAACCCTGCGATCCCGTGGTGGCTGTTCTTCCCCGTGTCTCTGGTGGAGAGCCTAGCAGCTTTGTTTCTGGGCCCCCCTCAGGTGGTGGACATCATGCGTGTGAATGTGGACAAGGTCCTGAAGAGGGACGAGATCCTGTCGGAGCTAGATGACCGAGCAGACGCCTTGCAGATGGGAGCGTCACAATTTGAGAGCAGTGCTGCCAAGCTAAAGAGGAAGTATTGGTGGAAAAACTGCAAAGTGAGTTTTCTTGTCCTCTCCCCCCTTCTTTTTCCTGGGCCACAACTCACAGAAGGCCAGAAAACCCTCAGGTTCTACATTCCCTCCCTTGAGTGGTACAGGATCTCTGCCCTGCAGAACTCTTCTTGGGAGGAAGTCTTAAAAGCCTCCTTGAGCTGCATTACCCAGAATCGGCCACCAGGGTAGGCTAGAGTATTCAGATCCACTAACGGGGGCTACCCTGAGGTGTTTGGAAACGGTTAGTCAAGCTGCTTTTGCCAAAAGGACCCCTGGAAAATGTTTCACCTGGCCCTTCCTCAAACACTCAACACCGACACAATGACTGGAGTAGATAAATGTATTTAAATCCGTGCGGCTTTTAGGAATGAGCTGAACACTTCACAATGAGAAAGGAACCACTTGACTGCAGATCCATTGCAATGCTTTTCAACACAACAGTACCCAAAGCAAAAGAAGCAAGCTACAGAAGCTCTGATGTGTCCTAGGCGCTTCGCCTGTGGTGCAGGGGTTATTGTCTGATGGAGAGCATGGGGTTGGGGCCCTCGCCCAGAGGCCTGCAGATTTCCCTGGGTGCCGTGCGTGTCTTTCTCCCAAAGTCAGAGGAAGTTCTTTTCCTGGCTCCTTTCTTCCTTTCCCAAGTCCAAGGATCGATTTTTGTTTTTGTCAATTTCTCCTCAGATGATGATCATGCTGGGGGCTATCTGTGCCATCATCGTGGTAGTTATTGCGAGTAAGTATTCCTGAGGTTGCTGGTGGGGTGAAGAGGTGGGCAGGTCCCGGAGTCTTCTCCCAGCCCCGCCTGCCTGCCTCCCTGCCTGAGGAGTGGGACAGCTCCGACTGAGGTATGGAGATCACTGTTGTGGAATTGCCACCTGGCTCAGGAGGGAGGGAGGGCAAAGACAAAGGACTCCCTTGATGGACAAGGCTTCCCTCTGCTGTTTGTCACTGTCTTGGGTCTGAGGGAGACATGGGGATGGGACACCTACAACTGAAAGACCCGAATGCCTAGTGACCTGGTGTAATTTGTCCTCTTGTTTTCTCCTGTCTGTCTCTGTCTGTCTGTCTCTCTCTCTCTCTCTCTCTCTCTCTCTCTCTCTCTCTCTTCCATCTTGGACTTCCTGATACCTGTGTCCAGTCTACTTTTTTACTTGAGAATGTGCCACCCCTTCCCTGTCTTCCATTACCATCCAAACCCATGTTCCTCTCCTTGTTTGCTCTCTCAACCGACTCCCCCATCTACCTTCCTCCATCCCAGCCCAGGTTTCTCCACCGCTCATTCCTCCTTTTCTGTTGCTTTCATTTGCACTACATTCCTCAGCACTAGCAATGCTGCTCCTGGCTGCAATTTGAAGCAACTATCTGAAGAGCAACAGCCAGCACCTCCTCCCTCCATGCTTCTTATAAAATCACAAATTCCTCCAAAGTCAAAAAGAGGTGGAGGCCAAGGGAAGGGGACGGACGTAGCTGTAGGGACATGCCCACCAAAGTGTCAAGATTCGGGGAGGAGAAGGGTAACCATGCCCATGGTGCCTCTGGGAAAGCCAGGCCGCTGGCAGGAGGAGGCCGGGTACGCCTGGGAAAATGGTGGCTCACTCAGGGCTGCCCTGATCACATGGAGCTCTCCTCCTCTGCCAGGCCTGAAGAGGATCCTGGGTGGGTGGGCTCAAAGTCCAACTCGATCCTGGTGCAATACCCTCTTAGATAGTGAAACCTGTCTTTTGCAGTTATTTCTAATCTGTTAGTCCAAGATTTTCTATGTCTTCAGGGATCTTAACAGCCTTTTACTTTGTTCTCCGGTGACCTGGAGGACGCATATGAATTGTGAAAATACCAAAATTCTCATTGCCATCCTAGAAGCAGCCCCACAAGCTCGTTACGGGAAGGGGCTGACCCGTGTCCACATTTTCTGCAGCGTTCCTGTTCATGAGAGTACCACGTAATGTCATATAGCCAAAGTTTTGGACTCTTGATTCGTTTTCATTGTTGGCATAAAGAGAGAGGAGGTATTAGTTAGAGAGAAACAGTGACTGAAGGGCCTAATTTGAAAATCACGAGCTCAGAGGAAGCCACTTCTTGCCTTCTCTCGTTAAGGAGGGTCCTGATCCTCCCCTCCTGTTGATTAAGGAGTGTGAGGGGTCCTTGGATGTCGAGCAGGGACTTCCTCTGCACCACTCCTGTGTACTTGCCAAAGACAGGGATGAGGCAAGATAGCCTTGCTGAGGCCTGGCTGATTCTGTATATTTAGAGAAGCCCAGTATACCCACCGACTCAGTCTTGGGGTAGGAGGCAGACAATGTAGGCAGTTTATGCTATCATGGGGCCCTTTCACCTAGAGCCACCTTTCACCTGTCTGTTCTTCCCGCATTGTCCTCCCCTTCTAAACCACGTGTACCCCTCTGAATTCCCCTTTGCCTGCTTTCCTTTTCTCTTTGCATGGCTTGTGGGTCCAGATAGTGGAATCTAAGGATGGTAGCTACTCAGCCTGTGCGGGGGCCACTGCTGGGCTTCAGGATAGGGTATTGGGTGGGGTAGGCCCAGGTGTGAGGGGAGGCAGGCAGGCTGAGAACAGAAGGGGAAACACCCGTGCTCTTGTGTTCCTTCTGTCCTCTGGTCTACAAGCAGGAAGAGGCAGGGCTGGGGCTGGATGCTCACTTTTCATGCAGCAGCATTTCATTGCACAGAACCATCCTTCCTCTCCCCGTGCCCCTGTTCCCCACGTTCCCTGTGTCCTGCTCCAGGGTGGGACTGAAGAGCTGGAAGAAAGCAGTCAGTGTACCCTCCCACCGGTTCCCCCCGAAGGTCTTCACTCTCCTCTGGGGGCCACTGCTGGAGAAGAACCACCACTGTCCTCGATGTGCCCCAAGCCTGGAGCAAATTTCTCCTCAGCCCACCTGCCTGTGTCACAGGGATTACTTCCTTGGGTTTCTGTCCCTCCGAATATAGTTGGCTCACCAGATATAGTTGGCTTTGTTCTTTTGGAGATTTCAGCCCTTCTCCTTTCTTTCTCATCCCACTGTGTGTACACCCTCTTTTATGTCTTTGCTGTCCCCTTTCCCTCCTACCACCCATGTGCATGGGCAAATATGCAACCAAACCCTGGGACTTTGCAGTCAAATGAAGCCGAGCTTCCCACATCCCCTTCAGTTTGCCATGAGACGATGGGGGGTTTCCGCTGTGTGTCTGTCATCACCCCTTTGTCTTTTTTTCCTAACCTCAATCTCATACCTGTATAGAATAATAATTGTACCTCACCAAAGGCATGTGGCTTATCTACCAATTTCATGTATTCTAAACAAAGGCGCAAAAAATATAAATTCCTAACTACACTGACTTGGTTGTTGTTTGGGTTGGAGTACCTAAGGAGAGAGGTGGGGAGGGGACTGCTTAGTTCTTGTAGTCTGATGTTGCTCTAGGCCGGAAGGGCTGGCTAATGGGTGCCAGATGGTCTTCGGAGATTAAAGCTCCGTGTTGGCAAAGGAAGTGGTCTCTGCTCTCAGCATTCACGCCTGCAGCAGCCCAACTCTTCCGGTGACGGCAGGAAGTTGAGTGAGGATCCCACGCTGACAAACACCTGCAGGATTTTCTCAGACATCTCCCATCTACCTCCTTCCTTTGTGCGGAGTGCCACTGTATTGACTGGCAGATTTTAGAAATAAACAAAAGAAATTTTTCCCTGGCTGCTGAGTCGGTTGAGGAGTAGTAGGGATGAGGAATTGCCCGTATCCTGAAGCACCCAGCAACTGTCTAAGGAGCAGAACCTAATTACAGCTTAGAGTTTCACAGAACGCCGGAGATGGGCCCCGGGGCTGCCTCCGAGGGCCTTTATTTCACACCTTCAACACTTTGTAGCAAGGCCTGGGACACAGCTCAGTTGGGCCCACCAATGGGAAAGATAGGAGAGTGGGCAAACTTTGCCTCCAAGGACCAAGAGGCTTTTATTTGGACAGAGTTCAGTATTTGCGGGTGGTGGCCCAACCTCTACCCCTTTGTCCCACTGCCCCTCACTTGCTCCTTTCTTAATTTCTTCCCACTTTCTGTTCCTACCACTGTATCTCAAATCTGGTTCTTGTTTTAACTTCCACCCAGACCTTCCCAATGGCCTCTGTTCTGTTTACCCCAGGCAAAGCCCAGAGGGTACCTACAGCATCTCCTCCCCGGCGCAGAAGGAAGGCAGAGTCCTGCATGTGTTCAAAGCCAGTGCCCCTGTGATCTGTGCTTTCTTCATGTTTTTGTTGGGGGTGTTTTTGAGCTTTGAGGCTTACAGTCCTTCTGGGAGAATGTGACTACTCTTTCTTTTTATTCGGAGGCAGGAGAGTGTCTACCCAGAGGGCCTCGGAGTCTTGGCAGATCTTGGGTGAGGTAGCTAGGAGAGAACAAGAGGGAGTGAGGTTGGTTTCAGCTGTGGTATCCCTAAAGTTGTGGGCTGTGGAGTTGGGGGAGAGACAAGAGGGTGCAGGTTGGAACCTGGAATGCTTGGGTTTCATCTCTGGTCTGGTAGGGAGATGGTGTGAGGAGGTGGTTAGCGGAGGCTGGTTGCAAGTGAGGTGGGTCAGGCAGAGCTGAGGGCAGTGGACGCTTACCTTGCCATCTCTGCAGTCCCAGATACAGCAGTACAAGGAGGAAGAGGCTGCTGCCAAAAAGGACTCCAAAGGCCACAGTTCTCTGCTCTGTAGGTGAGAAGAGTGCAGGCAGGAATCAGTGGGCAGGAACCAGCTCAGCCCGCGCCGGCAGGAGGACAAAGGAGTGTGTGAGTCTCTGTGTGGGGAGCTCACACCAAGAGTTCTGCTCTCCCCCAGGAACTGGACATACAGTAGCATTTGTACTTGCTCAGAGTTGTTGGATGTTTGTGTGTTTCTCCACATAGAATTCCCACAGTTTCCCACCTCATGATATCTTTTTCTGTCTGTCTTTTTTTTTTTTTTTTTTTTTTTTATTGTTTTGCAAGAGAAATTTAAGTTAGATAGCTGTTGGCAGTAAAACTAGGATTTTATAAATAGCTGGAGAATGATGTGAGCTGAGACAAAACCCTAGTCTCAAATAATAATGCCCAGTGCTCCTGAATGTTTGCATTCTAGGTACTGATTCTTTCCTGTTTAAAAATTTTAAATAGCCAAAACCGGTTTGGCTCAGTGGAAGAACGTCGGTCTGTGGACTAAAAGGTCCTGGGTTCGATTCCGGTCAAGGGCATGTACCTTAGTTGCGGGCACATCCCCAGTAGAGGGTGTGCAAGAGGCAGCTGGTCGATATTTCTCTCTCATCGACATTTCTAGCTCTCTATTTCTCTCCCTTCCTCTCTGTAAGAAATCAATAAAATATAAATTTTTTTTTTAAAAAAAATAATATTCTGCGGCTTCAGGATGAAGTTCCAGCTTGAAGGCCCATCAGTATCAGCCCACTAGCCCTGGTCAGCGTGCTCAGTGGTTAGAGCACTGGCCTGCACATCGGAGCGTCAGGGATTCGAGTCCCTGTCGGGCTCATATCTGGGTTGCAAGTTTGTTCCCCAGCTCCAGTTGGGGGTGGGAGGCAACCCCAATCTCTCTTCTCTCCTCCTTGCTCTCACCCCTCCTTTCCACTCTCTACAAGTCAATGGAAAAAGTATCTTCACTCCTCAGGTGAGGAAGACAGAAAAGTGTCAGCCCACTAATAGTAGTGGAGGGTTTGAGGTTCTGGTGTAATTAGGTTGCCTATTTTCCCCCATCTCACCCTTTACCATTTACTAAGTAGGTGACCTCGGGCAAATTACTTAACATCTGTGAGGGCCAGTTCACTCATTATGGGAGTCATACTAAGACATGTGATCATACTTCTCAGTGCTTAGTATAGTGCTCAATTCCTGTAAATGCTCAGTAAATACAATTACTTCTCAAGCTTTAGGCCACTTCCCAGTTTTCCCACACACTCTTGGTTCTAGCTGTGCAGTTCCCGAGTCCTCTTCAGGCTGCTTCATACTTGGCCTTCACACATGCCGTTCTGTCCGTCTTGGTGTTTCCTTGTCCCTCGAGCTAGCTAACTTGGTTATCTTCCCTGGTCACCTTCCCTGCCTGCCTAGTCAGTCCCTCCAAGTGGACTAAGCTCCTTGAGGGCAGGATCAGGAGTTACCCAGCCTTCATCTCCAGCACACCGCCTGCTGCCCTGGCGTACTGAAGTCTCAGGATGTGTGGTGGCAGCTATGGAGGCAGCTTCCCTGGAGAGAAGCTGAGACTGTGAATGAACATAGCGTGGTGGGAAGCAGAACGAGACCAAAGATGAGCTGGAGGCAGGAGAGCCATAAGCCCAGGGTAGAGGTGAGAGAGGAGGGCACCCCAGTACCTGGTGGGGCAGCCCAGGCGCTAGTCACAATGGGCTCATCCAGGGAGATGTGGGCGACCTGACAGGTGTAAGTGGCACCAGCAGAGCCAGGTTCTGCCGTCAGGGAGGAGGAGATGCTGTAGGTGCCCTCTGGGCTTTGCCGGAGGCTGGAGAAGGAGGTATCAGAGACTGGGACCGGGGCTCCACCCAGTTCCTCTCGGGTCCACGTCACAGTCACGTCCGGAGGATAATAGCCAGCGATGTTGCAGATGAGAGTGGGTGGCAGAGCTTCACTTGCCAAGCCCAGTCGTACTTTGGGAGAAGCTGGAAGAGAGAATAAGATTCCAGAGGGGTCAATGGGACAACAGAGAAGCCTAAAGCCTTCTCTTCCTGCCGAGAGTGAGCTAGGATGTGGAGGCTGGAGCTTCCTCCTCAGTGGAGTGCCAAGGGCGGTGAGGAGTCCACCCTGGGTGCAGGCCATAAAGGGGCACATCTTCCACAGGTAGTTGAAAGACCGTAGTAAAACCAACTAGCGACGGGCTTGCTTCTCATCACCATAAGCAGTGACTTTAAAGGGTATCAGTGAGGAAACCCTCTTTTCCATCAGGACCACTCCCACTGCGCCTCCTTGGTTTGCTGCTGCTCCTTTAGGGTGTGTGATTGGAGGCAGCCGGCCAGGGCAGGGCAACTGGATCCTGGTCTGGGAAGTTTCTCAATGGGCTTACCCAAAGTGTGACAGAAGACAACCTGATGCCATCTGCACCTCTAGAGTGGAGATGGCATTTAGGTTGTGGGAATGCAGTCTGCCTCTCAGGAAATGCCCTTGTATTTGGACTCCACTATGGAAAACACTCCCAATAAACATATCCCTTCCCCTCTCCCCCAGAGAAGCGAGTTCTGGCCTCACCTTGGACGTGGAGCTGGATGATTTGTTGAGCTTGGTACAGAGAGGTGGTGATCTGACAAATGTAGGCCCCCTCGTCCTTCAGAGTGAGGCTGGGTAGCTTGAGGGAGGCGTCCCCGGCCAGGAGGAGCTGCTCGGGCTCCAGGGTAGCGCCCTCTCGCCTGGCGTGGCCCTGCCCTGCGGTCCAGCTGTACACCAGCTGGCCACTGCCTTTGTGCTGCAGCCGCCACTCCACTCTGGCGAGGTCCCAGCCTGGAGCCATGGAGAAGCCGCAGTGCAGGGAGGCTGAGGACCCCCGCTGGAGGCTCAAGGACGGGGTCTGTGTTGACACCTGGAACTCCACTGTGGTGAGGGAGAGAGGGCGATGTGTTCAGCTTCCTCTTGAGACCACCTGACCTGAGCTGTGGGCATGTGGGTGTACACATCTGCCCCTGCCTCCTTTCTTAACAGTGAAGGCAGTTGGGCTCATTTCCCAGACAGGTGGAACCACAAAGAAATGGGTCTCGAGAACCATATGATTTCACCCACGTGTGGAGTATAAAACGGAAACTTCTGAACACAAACAGCAGTGTGGTGGTTGCCAGAGGGAAGGGGGCAGGGAGAAAAAGGGGTCCCAATATGAGGTGACAGGAGAAGATTTGACTTTGGATGGCGGGCACATGGTGCTAGATACAGATTCTGTAATTTAGTAACCCACACATGAAACCTATATGTTCATGTTGACTAATGTCACTCCAGTAAAATTTAATTAAAAAACAAAGAAATGGGGCTCTGGAAAGGCAGTGTGACACACAAGGCGATCTGAACTATTTTGGAGCCACTCCTGGATAATCTGGTGAAAGCTGTTGACCTCTTACCAGGAAGATACGCATGCAAAACTGTGGGTCACTGTTGACTCTTGGGTAAGAACCACTGGAGTAACATAAAACATTTTGGAACCCTGGTTCTTCCATGTGGTTGCTCTGTGACCTTGGACAAGTCACTTAGTGTTGCCAAGCTCACCTGTGGAAGGCAAGGCTGCTGTGAAGTCTAAATAGGAGTAAGAGTTTAAAAAGCACACTGTACACTCAGCCTCTGTGGCTCAGTTGGTTGGGAATCATCCTGCACATAGTTGCCGGTTCGATTCCTGGTGGGGACACATATCTGGGTTGTGTTCAATCCCTGGTCGGGGCATGTACGGAAGGTAACTGATCGATGTTCCTCTCTCCCATCGCTATTTCTCTCTCACTCTCTTCCTCTCTAAGCATGAGGATTAAAAAATAAAATAAAAAGCGCCGAAACCGGTTTGGCTCAGTTGTAGAGCGTCGGTCTGCGGACCGAAAGGTCCTGGGTTCGATTCCGGTCAAGGGCATGTACCTTGGTTGTGGGCACATCCTCGGTGGGGGTTGTGCAAGAGGCATCTGGTTGATGTTTCTCTCTCAACGATGTTTCTAACTCTCTGTCTCTCTTCCTCTCTGTAAAAAATCAATAAAATATATTTTTTAAAAATAATAAAAAGCACACAGACATGGGAAACCTAAATCTAATGAGGAAAACAATCAGGCAGTGGGGTATGGTACCAGACAAGGCCTAAGCTCTTCAAAGATGTCGGGGCCATGAAAGACGGTTCTGAAGTAAAGGAGTCTAAAGGCACAACACAGCCAAAACCGGTTTGGCTCAGTGGATAGGGTGTCGGTCTGCGGACTGAAGGGTCCCGAGTTCGATTCCCATTGGGGGCATGTACGTTGGTTGAAGGCACATCCCCAGTGGGAGGTGTGCAGGAGGCAGCTGGTCGATGTTTCTCTCTCATCGATGTTTCTAACTCTCTATCTCTCTCTCTTTCTCTCTGTGGAAAATCAATAAAATATATTTAAAAAAAATTAAAATAAAATAAAGGCACAAGACGGCTAAAGGTGTGTGTGGTCCTTGCTTGAATCCTGGACTCTACAAGAACCAGAGAGCTACAAAGAACACTAGTGGGGTAATGGGAGAAGTTTGAATTTGGACTTCATACTTGACAGTATTATTATATCAATTTTTAAATATTGACCTTAAGCATGATGCTCAGTGGTGTAGCAAGTGGAACTGCCCTGGCAAATACGTTCTTAAATTCTTGACACCCTGTACCCCCTTATTGTCTGCACCACGGTAGACCACCCCACCTTGGTTTGCTGAGGTGATGGTTCTGTGATGATGGAGAATATCCCTCTTTGGTTATAAACCAAATGCTATAAACCACATGCTATACATGGCTGTATTTGGAGTGAAGTATTGGGATTACTGAAGCTTTCAATTTGTTCAGGAATATCTATTAAGAGAATGCTAACAATTGATTGGACCTAGGTGTATAACATACAGGTGTCCATTACATTATTCTTTCACCTTTTGTAGGCTTAAAATATCCCAAAATAAAAAGGGAATATCTAGCTGTACCAGGACCATGAGGACGCCTCTTTTCTGCTGTAGCAGGATACACATAGGTTAGACCACAGGATAGTAGACTGTTCTGGGCTTTCTAAGGATAGGTGGGTAGTTCTCTAATCTTTGGACTTGGTTGTCTCTTTTTGGAGGTAAAATAATAGGCTTACTGACCTCTGGAGAAATTTATCCTCATGTTCTCAATTCCCTGCACCCTCTGGGATGTGCTGGAGAAGGCAAGAACTCTGTTTTACTAATAATATTAATAAGGGGTAACGAACAAATTCTGAACCCCTGTGCTTTGCTCTCGTCAAACACCAGACCAGGATGGTTTTTCACTGGGAGAAAACTGGTGCTTGGTCCAGGAAGCCTACTATGAACAGCATACGTGACTAGAGCATGTCATTTCCTCAGGCAAAACAGTGAGGAGGAAATTATCCTCAATTTGGGCCTTTTGAAAGAAAGGGTCAAAGTCGAGGAGACACCTTGAGATGACTGATGTGGATGGAGGTGGACTTGTTCCCTTCTATTCCCTGCCCAGCTGGTGTGGCTCAGTGATTGAGCGTTGACCTATGAACTAGGAGGTCACAGTTTGATTCCCAGTCGGGGCACATACCTAGGTTGCGGGCTTGATCCCCAGTGTGGGGCCTGCAAGAGGCAGCTGATCAATGATCCTAATCATGGATGTTTCTCTCTCTCCCTCTCTGAACTCAATAAAAATATATTAAAAGGAAACTTTCTTTCTGCTACTTTTCACTTTCTTACCTGTAGTCAGCACAGTCCCCTGGGGGCCCAGGGGCAGGTTCATCACCGGGTACAAGAGAGCCGTGTTCTCAGCATCCGCCAGAGTCTTCATCAGTATGGAGACACTGGGTCCCCCTCCAGAGACCTGCAGGTTGGCCATGAACCAAGCTGCCGTCTCCACAGCAACCTCTTGTCTGGCCTGGAGAAAGTAGCGGGAGATCTCACAGGTCACCTCCTTCTCGCTGCAGTCCGCATGGAGCAAGGCCTCCACATGGGGCATCTGCACCGGACTCACTGGGGGAGAAGGGCGGGTGGCACAGAGGGCGGATTGGATGGAGGCCGGGGCGGGGGGGGGGGAAGGGGGAAAGCAGATGCAGGTGGGCGCACTGGAAACTGGGCTGTCCCAATGGAGGGAGCCCCGCAGGACCGGGACACGGGGCGGGGGCTCTTACCTGAGGCTTCAAAGGTGACAGGTGGGTTGTCTTTGACCAGTGTGCTCACTTGGAAGTCGCTGAAGCCTTCCAGGGAGCCGTCATCCAGCACTGGCACCTGCTTCAGCACCAGCAGGGCCTTCACCATGGTCTTATCGCTGGCAAAGCCTCCACGGTGCATGCCTTCCTCCGCCAAGAAGCAGTCCAAGACCACGTCCACTGCCCGCCACTGCCTCTCTGCTGCAGGGACTGTTGGACCTCAAAGGGAGGGTGGGGATAAAAGGGAGAGATCAACCAAAGGACTTATGTGCACACATATGAGCCTAACCAGTGGTCGAGGACAATAGGGGGGTGGGGGGCAAGAGTAGGGGTGGGGGGATTGGAATGGGGGGTTGAGGACAAATATGTGCTACCTTAATCAATAAAGAAATAACAAACAAACAAAAGATGGCTGCAGCCGCCGTTATTTCTGTGCCCACTCCCTGCCCCAACTGTGCAGTCATTAAGGCTGAAAGTTGTGTTCCAGGGGCCTTGCTATCTGTGTCCCTATCTCAAAATTCCCAGGCCAGCTTTCTGGGAAGCACCTGCCTTTCCAGGAACTACTTGATACGAGTGGTTCAAAGTCCTGGATTTGCCTTGCTCCGACGGGTTTATGCTTTTATTTCCAACCATCAAATGAAAGTTATTTTCAGGCAAAGGAGTTCTCAGCAAAAGCAAAAGCTTTGCCACTGCGAGAGACAACAGGCCATCATGCAGTCCAGGGTGTTGGCAGCCATCTTTTCCATTTCCCAGCCGGCAACAGGTCTGCTCTGCTTTTTCCTGCCACAACATGTGGCCGCCTGCTCTCCGCCTCCCGATCACCTTCCTGGTGATTTCCTGGCTGGGGAACCTTTCTCTTCCGAAGGTGTCCCCTCTTCCAAGGACAGCGCTCCCACCACATTCACCGTGAGGCCACTTTTTCTCATTTGGCTTTCCCCCCTGGGTCTCAGGCTCTCTCTCTCCAACACAATCCGTTCCGTTGTCAGCCTCTGAGCCCATCTCCCCTTGGGCTTAGAAGCGATTGGCTCCTTTTCCCTTGTGTAACCGGGGGAGGGTGGCTATCCGGGGCTTCCCTAGCCTCTCTTCCCTCCAGGCTGCCCCCACTCACCAGGGTCCGCAGCTCCGGACAGAGCCAAGCAGAGCAGCAGGCACCATCCCTCTGTGCCCATGGGGGCTGCTCTCAGGCCCGCCGCCGCCCTGCTCCACCGGCTCCCCGACTGCAGGGTCCACGGAGAAGAGGGGCCTCTAAATTCTTCTTTCAGTACTGGCTGGCCGACGTTTTGAGAGTTTCTCTCCTGCCCCCTAGTACCTCTCTTTCACTTTCACTTTGAGGAGGTGCCACTGCGGCTGCCTTCGCCTCTGAGTGAAGCCATTTCTTGCTGGTGCCAGAGCCCTGTTCACGGTTCTCCTTCCCAACCCCATGCACCCCCTGGCGATTCCAAGCCCTGACTCCACTGCTGCCCCACCAGCCCCGACACAGTGGAGGTGTGGGGGCCGGGAGGTAGGAGGAGGAGGAAGGGAGAGACTAGAAGCAGGAACCCCGTGAGTCTGGGAACCTTTTCTCATTTTCTGTTGGTACCACACCCCCGCCCTCCCCTGCTGGGCAGGCTCTAACCCCAGACCGCAGGGGAGAAGGCCCCTCCCTCCGATCCCAGATAGAGACGAGGCTGGGAGTGGCCTGCCTTGTGAGTGGAATTTCAGAGAGGCGGCATGAGGTGATCTGTCACTTTATTTTGCTGTTTCTAAATACAGCACGTGGGGCTTTCCTGGGCGTAGGTGTGTTTGACAGCTGGAATCCTGGCCCTCCTCCGGAACGGAGGTGACGCTGGCTGGGCCGGGATACATCCCGCTTCCCACCCTCCACCTCCCACGTGTCCTTGTCACCCAGTCTCCAAAGGTCCTTTCTCAAGGCTGCCCAGCGGAAAGGGCCTGCCGAGGGCCTGGCACTCATTTGCGGTCGCTGGGTGTCATTGCCCCTGGCTGGGCAGTGAGCCCGGGTGGGGGCCAGGCTGAGGAGTGCCGGCTCAGAGGTAGGAAGCAGGCTCGGGCTTTCGGTAATCCTCCTGCACGGGGATGGCTTCGCCTTCCTCCTCCCTGGGACAGCTGTAGGGATAGGGCTCAGCAGGCGCCGCGGGACTGTCTCCTTTGTCTGCAGAAGCAGAAACAGATGAATCTTGGCCAGGAGTCAGGGGAGGAGGCAAAGGAAGAGGAGAGAGGCAAAGGAGGTAAGCTTGAGGGAGGGCTGTTGGGAGGATCTCAGCAAAGAGGACAGGAAGACGAGGCAGGAGCCAGGGCTGATACAGATGGAGGAGGGAGGCTTCCAACAGGCATGGGTGGCAGGGCTGAGGAGGTGGGAGTGGGGTCAGACATAGGACTGGAGACCAGTATTTTGTCTCTTACTTAGTCCATTTTTTCTTCGTTGATGGAGGAACAGGGCTCCGACCACAGTGAAAACAAGAAACATTCCAGACAGGATCACGAAGATTCTGATGCATTCTGAGCTGCACAGGAACCTCTGGGCTGTGACAGGCAGGGGCCACACAAGGGTTTGGCATGAGGGCCCAGCCCTAGACTCCTCTCACCCCAGCCCTCCCCTCATCTTTGCCTCTCTCCTCCAGGCCTTTCTCTCCGCCCTCATCATGGGACCAAGTCCTTTCCTCACTCCTAGACTCTGCTCTTCCTCCTCTTCTCCTCCTCACTCCTAGGAGCTGGCTTGTCTCTTGGACTCCCCCATATATCTTCTCTCTTAGAGTGGAGATTGTGGAGAAAACTCACCTGGCTGTTGAGTCGGGGGAGCTGGGGCAGGCAGCCTGAGGTCAGCCAGAGTCTGCATGTGCCTGGCTGCTGTCCTGGCCTCCAGGAACTCTGGAAAACCAGATGGAGGGTGAACAACAGCAGGGAGCCAACAGGGAAAGCCCAGGCTGAAGGCCTAGAGGCCTGGGAAGAGTTGGATGAGATGGAAAGGCAGAGAAGAGATGAGCCAACCAGGCAACTCATGTTGGGGGTTGGGGTGGGCTCAGAAGGGGTGCTCCTTGAGAGGGACCCTTACCCCAAACTGGACAAAGAGTTCCCTGGAACTTACTTTGGGTGTAAGGTGAGGGGGTGGATTGTGGGTCTGGGGCCGGCGATAGACGAGGGGTCAGCGTGGGGTTCCTAGCAGGATAGCACTCGGTACACTCCTTGTCCGTGCACTCCCAGCCCCGGGGGCAGGTACACACGGCGTTGGCGGTGGGGGTGCAGTTTCGAATGAGATGACCTGGGGACAGAGGAGGCGGGAGGAATACAAGACACTCAGGCCTAAGAGACCTGCAAGTCCCACTTGCTTAATCCTCTCCCCCAGCCCCACCCTATCCCCACAGAGGCCGGTCTCTCTCTCACCACCACCCAGTCCCCTTGCCGTTAGTATTATTGTTATTAAGGAAAATACTTGGACCTTATAGAAAATCCATGGTTCACAAGGAGACACTATGAAAAGTAGGAACAGTCTGAGATTTTTACAATTGAATTATAATATAGAGAAGTATACACATCGCAAGTGTAAAGTTTGAGGCTTTACACTTGAGACGGTACCACCAGTTGGACTCACAAGTGTAACCAGCAGCAGGTTAAATAGAAAATGACCAGTAGGGGGTGGTCATGAAGGTGTTTGCCAAAAAGAAGGGAAGGGCTAAAGAAGGGGCTGGGCCTGCTGGCCCGGCTCAGCGGTTGAACATCCACCTAGGAACCAGGAGATCACAGTTCAGTTCCCTGAGAGGGCACATACCCGGGTTGTGGGCTCGATCCCCAGTCAGGGGTGTGCAGGAGGCGGCCAATCAATGATTCTCATCATTGATGTTTCTCTCTCCCTCCTTTCCTCTCTGTAATCAATAAAAAATGTATATTAAAGAAAAAAAAGAAGGGACTGGGATTGGGTAAAAATGGATGAAATGCCATTATTCTCAGTGACAAGTATCCATACATCTGGAGTTGTTTTTTCACCAAGTGTAACGTGCACAAAATTCTAGACTATCTGGTACTTCTCTCTCTTACAGATGGGAATACTGAGGTCGAAGAGGACCAAACTCATTCAGGTCCCCCCCGCCCCCTGCCGGGTCCAGCTGCCAGGTGCTGCCCGAGAGCTTTGGGCTGCACCTTTGGGCTGTCTCAGAGAGAGAAGGATCATGGGTTGGGCTGGGCTGGGCTGGAACATAGCAAAGGGAGCACAGGCTGGCTCAGGGCTGGGAGAAGGCTTTCCGGTGAGGCCTGCAGAGGGGGGCCTGCAGAGGGACGAGCAGGTTTTGAATATTATTTTATTTTATTATTTTTAAAAAATATATTTTATTGATTTTTTACAGAGAGGAAGGGAGAGGGATAGAGAGCTAGAAACATCAATGAGAGAGAAACATTGATCAGCCGCCTTTTGCACACCCCCTACCGGGGGATGTGCCCGCCAACCAAGGTACATGCACTTGGCTGGAATCAAACCCGGGACCCTTGAGTCCGCAGGCCAACACTCTATCCACTGAGCCAAACCAGTTTCGACAGGTTTTGATTTTTAAAAGTCTGGCCCCGCTGGGCTTGCTGTCAAAAAGAGAAAAGCGCCTGTTAACAGTCACAGGTTGGACTGAGGAATGGGTCTTGTGCATGCAAGATGTTGCTGTTGGATTTGCGATGGCAAAACCCTCTTTATTCAGTTAACTTTTTAAGGAACACAGTGTTAAAAGCCCAGTGAGACCAAACACGTTTTTCAGGCAGGTAGTGGGAGAGCTCAGCGAAGTCATCCGTCCTCATGGGTGTCGTGCCGCAGGGTAACATTAATTCAAAGGGTCCCGTTAAAACCTGCCGCCCCATGTGCCCTGGCACCTCACTCCTGAAGTCCTAGCTACAATGGAGGATTCCTAACAGCAAACAGATTCCTAACAGCCACAGATATCACGCTTCTTACTTAAAAAAAAGAAATTACAATTTTTCATTTGTGTGTGTGGCTGCAATCGGGGGTCCTAGAGCCATTTCCTCCCTTTCGGTGTCTTGATGCCAACCATAGGCCCATTCTCGGCAGTCCCTCTGATTTCGCTTACCCTTTCCCTACACTAGCGTTCCCATCACATCAGCATTCCCGCTTCCCCCTCTCCGGCTGCCCCACTTGGCAGCGCTGGCTCCCTTGCCTTACTCAGCCTTGAAGCAACGGGAGGGAAGCTCCGACTCTGCCCCTTCTGTGCTCCTCCACACCCAGCTGTGCCCCCTTGCTCCCCGGATGCTTGCCCATCTCACCGGAGTGGCAGTGCCGGCAGTTCTCACAGTGGGGCCGGGTGTTGTGGTCTGGGGAGAAGGAGATCCCTGGAACACACGGCTGGCACTGAGCGGCCTTTCCCTGCCCGTCACAGTGCTTCTTGAGGAACGTTCCTGTGAGCAGAGGTCCAAGGTCAAGGCTGCTTCTCTGCCCTCCGCAAGGATTCCTCTCCCCGCTGGAGCGCAGACTCACATCCTGCCCTCTCCTTCCCCCATCCCAGTCCTCTTCCGCACTCAGCCTGCCCCTGCCCGGGCGTCCTCTCTTACCGGGTTCACACATCTGGCAGCACAGCTTCTCCTGAGCCCAGTAGTGCTTCTCTGGGCAGCTCTTGGGGGCTGGGGTGGCCGAGAGCCCTGCCAGAGCCCCCAGAACCCACAGCCAGCAGGCAGGTGGCCAGGCCATGGCTCCTGCTGGGGACACTGGCCTCTACCCTGGCTGCGCCTCCGCTTCCTCCTCTTTGCACCTCCTGGGCAGCAGCTGCAGATCTCCGCGTAGTCCTACTTCAAGTGGCAAGCTAACCTTTGGTGGCAGTTGAAGCTCTACTGTGACTGTTGTTTGTTTTTACAGCAACAACCTCTTCCCCCTCCACCCTTTCTGTGTGCTGGGTGCTGGGGAGAGTGGTTAAAGGGCAAACTCTGCCAGAAGACCTGCTGCTCTTTAGTTATCCCTCCTCGTCCCCCCAAGCCCCACCAACGTGCAGCTTCTCCCTTTCCGTCTCTGGTTGGTGCTCAAGAAGAAGGTAACCCACGTTCGCCTGCCTCCTTTATAAAGTGCTGAATGTGCAGCCACCCGCCTCTCATCCACATACCTGCACTCAAAGGTGCCCTGGCCACAGCGTACAAGCCAACTGGCATGTCCCTTCTCTCCTTTCCGCAGAGGATAAGTTTATATTTCTTTTTC